TGGGCACATCTTACACTGTAACCTGGGACATCTGGTCAACTTGTTCCAGTGTTTTACCACCTCATAGTAAAGAATTTCTTCCTTATATCCCATCTAAACCTATCCTCTTTCAGTTTAAAATGACTACCCCTTGTCCTGTCACGACAGGCCCTGATAAAAAGTCTCTCTCCATCTTTCTTATAAGCCCACTTTAAGCACTGAGAGGCAGCAATAAGGTCTCCCCAGAGCCTTCTCTTCTCCAGGCTGTCCTATAGGGGATGTGTCCCAGCCCTCTGACCGTTTTCATGGCCCTCCTTCAGACCTGCTCTAACAGGTCTACGTCTTTCTTGTGCTGGGAGTCCTGTAGCTGGATGCAGTACTCTGGTGGAGTCTTGCCAGAGCAGAGTAGAGGGGGAGAATCATCTCCCTCAACCTGCTGGCCACACTTCTTTTGATGCAGCCCAGGTTACGGTTGGCCTTCTGGGCTGTAAGCACACATTACTGGCTCATATGCAATTTTTATCCACCAGTAGCCCCAAGTCCTCCTCTGCAGGACTACTCTCAAACAATTCATCCCCCAGTCTGTACTGATGTTGGGGATTGCCCTGACCCAGGTGTAGGACCTTGCACTTGGCCTTGTTGAACTTCATGAGGTTCACACTGGCCCACTTCTCAAGCTTGTCAAAGTCCCTCTGGATGGCATCCCTTCCCTCAAGTGTACCAGCTGCGCCACTCAGCTTAATGTCATGTGCAAACGTGCTGAGGGTGCACTCAATCTCACTGTCTATGTCATTTGTAAAGATACTGAACAGTACTGGTCCCGGTATGGATCCCCGAGGGACACCGGTTGTTACTGATCTGCATTTGGACATTAAGCCATTGACTGCAACTCTTTGTCTGAGGCCATGCAGGCAACTCCTCATCCATCAAATGGTAGTCCATCCATCAAATCCATATCCCTCTGATTTAGTGACAAGGATGTTGTGTGGGGCCATGTTGAAGGCCTTACAGCAGTCAAGTTAGATGAGATCTGTTTCTCTTCCCTAACCCACCAAGGCAGTCGCTTCATCATAGGCAGCCACCACCTTAGTCAGGCAGGGCTTACCATTTGTGAAGCCATACTGACTGTGTCTAATCACCTTCCTGTCACCTGTATGTGTTGACATATCTTCCAGGGAGATTTTTTCCATGATCTTACTGAGCACAGAGGTGAGGCTGACTGATTAGTTCCCAGGGTCTTCCTTTTTACCGTTTTATGGTGTGAAATTGAATTTCCCCTTTTTCTGGTCCCTGGGGGCTTCGCCTGACTGCTGTGACTTTTCAAGTATGATGGAGAACAGCTTAGCAACTACATCAGCCAGTCCCCTCAGGACCCTGGATTGTATCTCATCAGGTATAGCGGACTTGTGTATGTTCAGGTCCCTCAGAAAGTCTCAAACCTGGTGTTCTCCTACAATGGGTGGGACTTCATTCCTGCACTCCCTGCCTTGAGATTCAGGGCCTCAAGAGATGTGGGACAAGCAGTTGCCAGTGAAAACTGAGGCAAAAAAGTTGTTGCGTACCTCAGCCTTCTCCATGTCAGTTGTCACCAGGTTCTCGGTCTAATTTATCAGGTGGGGAATGAAAACATTGATTCATCTAAACTAAAACAAATAGTTTTCTATTAAATACAGTAGTTAATACTAATTTTTAAAGATCTGAGTTGGAGACCAAATTTGAAAAAAAAGGGTTCTTCTATAGTAATGACCTTCTTGAGAACAAACCTACAGTTTTGAGAACAAACAAGCAGGGGGCCCTGCTTGGGCATAGGGGTGGATAAGATGACCTCTACAGAGGTCCCTTTCAACCTCAACTATTCTGTGAAAGCTTTAAAGCGCGAATATCTGTGTTTGCAAAAGAAGTCGTTCTGTTTTCATTACTGCCATCGGCTATCTGGAAGCACAGCTTGTTTTCTTTCACTGTAGAGTGCTCCTTGCTTATTTGAGAGATGGAGGCCGAGTCTAGCTCTTTGTGTTCCGAAAGCAAGGCCTGACATCAGATGCATTAGGAGGAGAAAGGTCCCTGGTTTTCTTCTGAAAGTGCTTGCAGAACACATTCAAGGCCATGTCATGATGTTTTTTTCATCTGTGTCCCTGCACATTTAATTGTCTGTGTCGCTCCACCCAGAGAGCTCGCACTGATGCCTTCAAGTAGAGAAAAGCACCCTGTGTTCAAATAGAGACTTCAGTGGTGCAGAAGAAGGAATCTGTGGTCTGAAGGAGAGAAGATTCTTTTACTGTCATTAATGAACCTTACTTTAGCCTACGGAGTCAGTGTGTAGGATCAGATGAGTTAAAACTAATAAAAGCAGGCAGGAAATTAAGGAACACATCTGCCCTCTGTTGCCTTTGGGACAATTTAGCCCAAACATGAGATTTGAAGATTCCTAGTTGGCTTGTGGGGCCGGTCATGTGCACCCAAGCTCTCAGGGATAGACGATAGGGTCGTGGTGGCACTTTTGTTATCTCCATGAAACTCCTTTCCTCACCAGCGCCATGCCCTTTAAGGCAATGCTAACTCCTTTCCTCCTTCTTCTCCTCCTGCATGGAAGAAAATTGCTGATACCTGTTCATCAGGCCTATGCTGTGCTTTTCTGTAATTTGTCTGACCTGTGTTTTCATGGGAGTGATTGCTTTGGGGCCGCAAAGTGGCCCCAAGGCACTTGAATATCCCAAACGCTTCATTGGTAATTGCATTTGGTGGTTAGCTTCTTCCAGTAAAGGTAACCGGTTTCTCAGTTCAGTAAGAGGTGAGAAACAGCCATATCCACCCCATCAAATGCTGATTTATATAGGATTTGTTGTTTTAGAAGTTCAGTGCTGCAGTACTCGGAAGTAGAAATGTCTCTTACATACACTAGAGATAAGGGCAAAAAAAAAAAAAGAGGAAAAAAGGAAAGAAAGGCACATTTTGGGAGGTAGAGGGGGAGGAATTTATTCTAATCCCTCTGAAATTATTTTCTTGCTGAAAATTGTTAGATCTGGATGGACTAAGCCAACTGAGTTACCAAGACAACCTATCCTATCGTGAAGATGACCACATATCTGTTGATTCAAGAACAACTGAGAGTAGGGGCGCTGGACAGCATAAAGCACCTAGGATGGAGTCTGGTATTGCTGATGGCATTAGACAGCAAGCCACAGAAGGACATTTGGAAATGGAGACAGCATTTACCAACCAGGGATTTGAAGTAAATGGTGCTACTGACAACTCATCGGCTTGGACCCCTGAGGTATGGTGAATTGTCATTTATTATACACGGTGGAAGCTTTTTGAAGGACATTGGGGGCCAAAAAATGTTAGAGGAGAAATTAAATGAAAAATTGATCAGCACAGCACAAGGTATGTGTGCATGTGTACATGAACATACACCCCTCTGTGCGTGCTTCCCTTTTTTCTGGTATTTCACCTCTTGCTACTAATGCTAATTCAGAGAAGCTGTTTTATTGCTTGATTTCTGACTGCAGTCTCTGAACTGAAATTGGAGCCATTAGCTGCCTGACAGCATTTGCTATCATTTAGCAAAGAGCACTCTTATGTGCAGGGTGTGTGTCTAGGGACACGGTATGTGGTCACTGGGTCAGATCTGTGCCTCTTTTTGCAGGTGGTTTCTATGGCTTAGACAATGGGAAGCATCTGGAAAGCTGGAGGCAGCTGTTAGGGGTGGCCCGTGACTTGGCCAAATGACCATCTCTCTGGTCCCCATTGATAACAGGCATCCTTCCAGGGAAAAAGAGAGCCTGAGGTTGGAGCTCCTCATCTTTCCCTTAGTTCTACATCTTTATTTCGAAGCCTCAAGAAAACATTACAGATTTTGAGGCATTGTAAACACCTGATGACTTAGCCTCCCTCTTTTCTCTCATAATCTTTCTGTGTTATGTGTTAGTTTTCATTATTATTTTACTACAAGATTAAATTTCCAGAAAAATATCAGGCTGCATCAGACGTATTAAAAGAACAACAGAAAGGTCACATCTTCTGTCTGAGTTAAAAGAGACTGTTCTTCAGCTGTGGAAATTAATACCTCCATCACACTCTGAGCAACAAGGCTTTGAGGGAAAAGTTCCTTTCCTCAGAGTATGTTGCCTACAGCCAGTTAAAGAGATGGAAAGCAGCTCCTCCAGCCCTAAGGAGTGTTTTGAACAGCATTTTGGTTTGCTGCACAATCCAGTCCCACGAAATACTACACAGCACATGGGAACTCCACGTGGCAGCAGCCCTGCCCTCTCTTTGCTGTGTGCCTTTGACATGCACTGTTGGTCTGCCCATCTGAGACTCGTTTCTCCTTTTCCACATTTGATGTACACTGCCATGGTTCACATGGGCTGCAATGTCTCCAGTGTCCTCTTATATTTCTTTGGAATACATCTCTCATTTTGCTTCTGGTATCTGTATTTTAAAAATGCAAAGAATGGTTATAGCATCAGGGGGCAGATACGCCCAAGTCCCAGCTTATCTACTACAAGCAGCTTCTCATCTAAAGGTATTGTGTGGATTAATGAAAGACTTTTTATTGCAAGAACTAAATGTTCTGACATGCCAGAAATGTCCAAGTGCTATTATGCTCCACTCAAAGGACCTTTCTTTAGAGACAAAAATGATAATTTTATGCCCCTGCAGTGGAACCACAAGTACCATTTCAAGCCTTGTCCATAATTAGCTGCTCTTTCAGGTTTCTCTGGCAGAAATGGACTTATTTTACCTAGTGAAGTGGATATCGGCTGTCCTGAATGACCGGGTTAGACATACAGTATTAATCAGTATATATGGCTTGACCTCTCAACAACTGTACTGATGACGTATCTAAAACCCACACTTTCCTTGGATTCAGTTTAAGTGTCTGTATAACCAATACCTTCATAAAGGACTCATAGCACCAGCTGAGCTCTGAAAGCCAAGGGGAATTCTGTCAATGACTTCCACAGAAAGAAGACTGAGTGTCCATAAGCTTTGTGTACTGAAAACCTGTGCAGGGGTGAGCCCCAGGTAGCACAGTGCTCTCTGAAGTGGCCAGCCCATGAGGTCTTTAAAGCTTGGTTGTCCGTGGAAAG